TCAAAGCCGACAAAAACATGGGTGAGCATTTAGTAAACGCTTTTTTACACAGCTTCTAGCTACTGCTCTCTCCTGTTTGGAGTGACTTAACTGTAAACACAAAGCAGTGTGTCCCAGTGGCCCCCAGCACTCCAGGAGGCTGAGGGAGGAGGGTTGTATGTTTGAGCCCAGCCCGGACAACTTAGCAACTTAGCGAGACCCTGGTTGAAAATGAAAATAAAAAGGGCAGAGAATGGAGCCGAGTGTAAAGGCCCTGGGTTCACTCCCGAGGAACACTCACCACACAGTATTCACCAGAAAGCAAAACCAAACAAAAGAGTGCAAAAATAAGTGCTGCAGTCCCTTGGTCCTCCAACTGGGGGCTGGGCTTTCAAAGATTCCTTTGCCTTTGTATATTTTAATTTTATTTTTCTTTGTCCATGTTTATAGTGTCTAATGTTGCCATTCCTCATGTGGAGCTCTTGGTGCACGCACGGAACATAGCCATTCATCCTACATTCACCACGGGGATTCGGTACATACGCACACCCTGTCTTGTTTCTGTTTTTTGGTTTTTTGGGGTACTGAGGATCGAACTCAGGACCTTGCTCTTGCAAAGCAGGCGCTGCAACCACTGAGCTAAATCCCCAGCCCTACACACCCCATCTTTACCCTGCTTCTTTCTTCTCTTCTCCACCCTCCTTTCTCTCCTAGATCCCTGATTTATATCACAAAGCGCATGGGCTTAAGGAACTGTGTCGGGAATTCCCAGTGCCACTGTCATTTCTCAGCATGAGGTGTCGGGAAGCAAACTCTGCCACCCTGAGAAATTGCAGACAGTCAGCTCCTCTCATCTGCTGTCTCACAGAGTTCAATTCTACCCTCGGAGTCCACTGCTCTCCCTGGAGCTTGTCCAGTTAGAAAGGATTTTACCTTTGCAGGTCCCCACTAGCTTTTTGACAGTTTCTCTTTCGAGTAAAGCTCCCCGTGGAGAAACAAAATCCATACTTCACTCACAGGCCTGGGTTGAATTCTGCCCATGGTATACGCTTTACTGGCCTGTGAAAACTGAGTATGAATAAGTGGTTTTCCAAGTGGAATCCCTGGCCCAGAAATGCGGGCAGGATCTGACAATGACAGACTCACTATAGCTTGACTTGTAGTGCTTCAGCTTTGTGCTTGTGCGGAAGTGTCTCCACTCACAGCTCGTGTTCAGTACGGTGTGAGAGGAATCATGGGAGAAGTTCAACACTTGGTTGTACAGTGGGGTTCGCGTTCAGTGATTCTGCCCCAATGTAGGCTAATGTAAGTATTGGAAGGAGGCTTCGATACGCCCTGATGTGCAGTAGATGTATTGAATGCATTTTCTTCTTTCTTCTTTTCTTTTTCCTTCCTTCCTTCCTTCTTTCTTTTGGTTTTTTGAGACAGGGTCTTGCTATGCAGGTCAGGCTTGCAGTGAACTCACTGTGTAGCCCAGGCTGGCCTCAAACTCCTAGCAGCAGCGATCCTCCTGGCTCAGCCTCTCCAGTGCTGAGACGACAGTGCCCCACCGCGCCTAGCCTGAATATTTTCAGTGCACTTTGGGTTTATTGGGATCCTTCATAAATCAAGAAACAGCTGGGCATGGTGGTATCTGCTCATAATCCCAGCACTCTGAGAGGCTGAGACAGGAATACCCAGCCTGGGCAATGTATGCAGCAACTTAGCTTGACCTTGTCTTACAATAAAATTTAAATACGAAGGGGCTGAGCATGGAGCTCAGTGCAAAGTCCCTGGGTTCAATACCCAGTAATGCAAGGGGAGAAAATAGCTGCAGGTAGCTCTGTAGTTTCTTGGACTTCCTATGCCTTTGTGAGCCAGCAGGGCCAGGGTGGTGCCCACAATCTTTTCCACAAGCCCTGCAGGGCAGGAGCCCCGAGGTCCATCTTGGACTACGAGGAACAGAGCCTGGACGTGGGTCCCCCCAGGAAAAAGAGACATCAGCAATTCCGGGCTCCGTTATGAGTTTGGAGTGATGACACAGGGCTTGAGTTTGATTCAGTAGAGCAGCTGTGTTTGGTGATTGTTTTTAACTGAGCTGGGAGAAAGTTTCCACAAGAAGACATCAGCAGAGGACAAGGAAGCTGGCAGGATGGGGCTCGGAAGACTTTGGGCATCAGAAGAGCCGGCTCTGGAAGTGAGGCTGGGTCTCAGGGAAGACCTAGATGCTGAGAATCGGTAGTGGGTGGGATATGGAGAGGGAGGAAGAAAGGGAAGAGCAGGAGGGAGAAGATGATGGAGGAGAAACACGAGGTGGAGGAGGAAGAGGAGAAGAGAAAGCAGAAGGTTGGGAGGAGGAGAAAGTACACAAAGAAAAGGAGCAGAAACAGAAAGAGGAGAAGGAGGATGAGGCAGGAGGGTGGACGCTTAATGGTGATTCTCAAGCTTTGGAGGAGAAATTTGCACCCTGCTCCCAAACCTCCAGCTCCTTAGTGTCTGAACATCTCTCCACGCCACCCCAGATGCGTGGTGTGTAAAGGTGTGCTTCCACATGGAGCACGTGGACACTTGCCCATGAGTGTGTCGGTATTTGTGCACGGTGCCCCCCTTACCCAGGGAGGTGCATTCCAAGACCCCTGTGGATGCCTGAACCCACGGATGGTGCCCGACCCTACACACACCGGGTCTTTCTCCTGCACACGCACGCAGCTGCGGTGAACTTTAATTCATAAACCAGGCGTGGTGATAGATTCCCTGTGATACTTAGTGGTAAAATGGAATGATGATAACAGCATTGTGTGGTGAAGCTTATGGGAATATAATCTCTCTCTCTCTAACTCTGTGTGAGCATGCGTGTGTAAGCATGTAATCATTGTGTGTGCCTCTGAGGTGCGTGTGCACATGTACCGGAGCATGTGCATACAGGAGTGGGTGTGTGTCCGTGTGAATGATTGTGTGTGAGTGAATATGTGCACGTGGGCATGAGTGTGAGCTGACACACACGTGTGCATTGCAGTATTTATCACGCACGCCCTGCACTCGCTCAGGCATGATGCAGAATTGCTGTGATGCGAGGTGGTCAGGGAGCTGACAGATGAGGTCACCAAGAAAACATGAATCAAATCATTCGTTTCATGAGCTGTGTAAATATTTAGGAATTAAAGAATCAGAGATAATCTCCCAGATAAAGAGTGAAGTCCAGGTGGCAGAATACATTGCTCCAGTGGAGAAGGTTCAGCATCCTGTAACAGTATTCTCCATGACCACCATCCCCATATCTACTTCTGCTCAATTCCATCTCAATACACAGGATTTCTAGTGATGCCTACATATTTCCCCTCCTGGGCTGTGTGGCAGAACCTCGCTGTCTTCAAGAAGAACCCAGATTCTTCATATTACCTGAGTTAATCCATTTCTTCACTGTGGGCCATGAAGGCAGGATATTGCTTGTATTTAGTATAAGAGACAGACATGCCAGAAGAAAGGGTTAGCCATACCGTCTTCAGCATTATCCCATTTATAGTTTTAGGAAGTAGATGTATCGCATGTATAGAAGACTGGATGTGGGGGAGAAGGTGGTCTTTTTACAATGGCAGCATTATTGCTTGTTGGGTGGTTCTGTAGATTAAAGAAATCTACCGGGCCTGGGTATTTTCCCAAGTTCAGCCATGGAGAGACACATAAGAGTGTCTGAGTTTGCATGAATTCAGTGGATTTCCAAAAGTGTATTACAAAAGATAAGTTCCAGTAATTATTTTTTCGTAAACATAACAGTTAAAAAAATAAAAATCTCCCTAAAGGCTTATGTGTTCAGAGAAGGGGCTTTTAGAAAATGATCAGAGAGCGAGGTGCTAATGGATCGATCCATTGGTGAGTTCATAGCTGAATGTATTTGAGGAGGTGGAGCCTCAGTGGAGGAAGTAGGTCACTGGGGTGTGACCTGGAATGGGTTATGGCTTTATTCTTGTCCCTGGTGTGGGTGTGGGTGTCTGGCTGTCTGGCTGCCTGTATCTCTATCTCTCTTTCTCTGTCTCTCTCTGCTTCCTGGTCATCATGATGTGAGCGTCTTTCCTCCCCCACGCCCATCCACCATGATGTTCCTGCCTTAGAGCAGCCGACCATGGACCAAACCCTCTGAGACCATTGGAGCAGCCAACCGTGGACTGAACCTCTGAATCTATGATCCAAATTAAACTTCTCCTCCTTTAAGTTGTCCCCTGGCCATGTATCCTGTCCACAAAATCCCATGGGATAGCCATTTTTGTCCCAGCAGCATACAGTTGACTAATACAGGTGCTAAGAGGGAATTGTGTTGGTTTATAAGACCTTGGACATTCTGTTCCTTCCTGGGTTCTTGAATCCTGGCCCCAAAAGGCATTCGGTTCCTAAAGCTTCTGAGTGCCCTGTGCACCTCTTACTTCTATTCTACGGACCACTCGGGGCCAGCTCCTGACCCGGGAAAGTGAGCTGCATTGCCAGGTTGCATTGCATCGCTGTGGTCTAAGCCCAGGAAAGCCCGAGTTTTCTCCTCACCTCTTTTCTCTGCCTTCCAAGCTCCCCTTTGAGCTCCGCATTTCCGCCAAGCATAGCGTCACAGCCCGCAGTTGGCTGGTTGGATGGGAAACCGAGAATCTTTTTGATATCAAGATGCTTCTTCTAATCGCTCAGTGTTGCCAGTTATACACTTAAGGGTCACCCCTTGACTGTCCACCTTCAAGTTAGTCCGTGAGCCTTTCTGTTTCTTAAAGAGTTGGCAAATTTAGTACATGTGTTGGGGATTTTAGGGTGCGTGTTCTTATTCCAAGAGATTCGCCTGCCATTGACATGCTACCCACTTGGGTGTACTACATTGCCGAGGTCTGTTGAGAGGAAACCCAGCAGAAGGAGCCCAGCTGGGACAGGCTGTGCTTTTCCGCCTTGTGCACACTTTTATCAGCCCGTGAGTGCACTCCTCTCCTCGGAGTTTCCCTGTGAGTTCTGCCAATCCTCCATAATCAGCCCGGAGCCCGACGTGGCCTGATGTTCTTTCCCTCTTTCTGCAGACCCCCGATGAAGGATCCTGGACTTCCGTCTATGCCGCGGTCAGCCCGGAGCTGGAAGGAGTGGGTGGCTGCTACCTGTACAACGCGAAAGAGACCCAGTCCCTCAAGGTGACCTACGACCAGAAGCTTCAGCGACAGCTGTGGGCCCAGAGCTGCCAGATGACCGGGATCACTGATGTGACACGGGACATCGTTTTGGGATAACTGTGTCACCGGGATTTTGCCAGCACTCAGTGGTCGGGGACTCTGAGCACCAGGATGCGTGTGATTCTGACACTCAGCTGCCCCCGGGGCTCGGGCCTCGAGTCTTGAGTCGATCGGCCTCATCTTTGCACGAACTCAGCATCCAATGTGATGTTCGAGTTGGTGGTTCCCAAATGCCAAACTGTCACACGAGTGCCCTGAAAATTAAATCTCTCCAAGTAAATGTGCTGTGGTCCTTGCTTGGCATGGAGGTGTGATAGCGGAAGATGAAGGATGAGGTGAGACCCGGCCTTCCAGGGAGGCATCAGCCTGTCTGGGAAGGGGCTGGGGTCATGGGTTCTCTCGTCTCATTTTGCTGAGACGATGACTTGTGTTTCGAGAGAGCCACCCATGATGTCTGGGTCCCAGACTCAGAGAGAGGGTCCTCATGCATCAGGCTGTAGGATCAGCCCCATGCGGGCTGTGTAGCCATCTGGTTGACCTCGTTCAGAATAAGAGAAAGTGAGGCCGTGCTGGCCAGGTGCTAGTCCAGAAGGTGTCAGGAGGACAGGGCCAGGAGAGGGTCACCGGGGGACTCCAAGGGGGAGAGACAAGGACAGGCCCTGGACAGTGTCATCATCGGATGCAGGAGGCAAAGGACAGGTCTTGGTCAGTGTCACCACGGGAGGTGGAGGGACAAGGACAGGCCTTTGGCAGTGGAATTCTATACAGGAGAAGCAGTCTGGGCAGTGTCACTGCACAGGACCGAGTTAGGAATGTGGCGAATGTAGTGTCCCGTGGGATTCTGGGGGCGGGACGCGTGGCTAGGGGACAGGATATTGTCCCCACGGGATTCTGGGGGCGGGACAACACTGGCCCTCCCTCTCCTGGTCCACACGTGTGACTTATTCTCCCACTTGGCACCTCACCCCGCTCTCTACTCCTGCAACCGTGTGTGTGGCCTGGTAACCCTGGGATTTCAGGCAAAATCTGTATAAAGATTGGAGTGCTGAGTCCAACAAGGCATGTCTGGCCCCATCCATCCAAACTTGTGAATATGCTTTTATTTGGTAAAGATCTTTTCAGCTACAATCAAGGATTCTGGGAAGAGGAGATCATCATTGACTCTCCTGGGGGCCCCGATGCAATTGCAATTTCTCCTCTGTGTCTGTGTCCCCTCTTCTGTCCCTCAAGAGGACCCTGCCATTGGATTCAGGGCCACCCTGACCTGACTTAGGGCCACCCCTGTCTCTTACCATAACACCGTCACTGGATTTTAGACCCAGCCGTATGCGCCATCTTGTCACAGCAGGGCTCTTCAATTAATTTCAGATCTGCAAGTACTCTTCACAGATAAGGTCTCCTCCCCATTTACCAGGACTTAACACTTGGCCATGTCTCTTGGGAGATTTGCTTCCTCATACACACTACAGGAACCAGATGTCACGGGGCCACAGAACACCTCCAGTCTTTGTCTGGGGATCTGGACAGCCTTGTACCTTGTTGTACAAGGTTGTACCTTGTACCTTCTGTTCACATCCCCATGGCTTCACAATTGTGTGGCCTGTGTCAGAGGCCCAGTGCCCAGCCGGGTGCCATATTGGTTTAATGTTCTGCTGCTGCCATCTTTAAAATTCTTCAGTTCAAACAAGGGGCTGATGCTGTTTCATTTTCCACCAGCCCTGAAAAACCTGTGGCTCTCTGCCCCTTTCATCCCTAGCTTACCTCCTGTCACAGCCTATGATCATCTCCCTCAGGTCCACTAAATCCAGTGAGTTTCGTCTGCCCACTTGGGAAACCTCTGGAAATGACTGATGTGTAGCCCCTACCTCAACAAAAGCACAGTTTATTCTCCTTGGCATTATTATTTTAGAGTTTTCCTAATCATCCTCTTATTGAGACAAATTAGTAAGCTCCTGAGTCAGGGAAATGGCTGCTATGGTTTCCAACTCTGTACATCTCTGGCCTCTTTCTGGTGTCTTTCAGACACCTAGAATTGCTCCGACTGATCTACCAAGCCCTAGATCCCAGACAAATGAGTTACTGTGTGGAACTTCTTTTTCCTACATAAAACCCAGATGGAGGCACCTTGCCATCTATGTAACATTTCTGAATAGTCAGAATGATGCAGCAAAAAAATCAGAACTTTCAATTCTAGCAAGATCTCCAGCTCTGAACATCTGCGCATCCTCAAAGAGCTATTTCAGCTCGAAGGCATTGCACACCAGTCCCAGCTGATGCGATCACATCACAGAGGTCTTTCCAAGTGCAGGCTCTTCGTGGTGGGACAGAATGTCTCCTAGCCAATGGGCCATCTTCATCTCATTCTTACCTCGAGCATGCCAACACCCGTGACTATTCCCAAGCCAGGGAGCTATGCTTTGGGAGAAGTTTTGGGCTTCTATGACTTGACCTCAAATGGCTGCTCTGTGTTCCACAACTCTTATGAAGCTGCTCCTCCGTGGGACACATCTGGAGAAACTGGCCCATGCTCCATGACCTCTGGCCACACCATTCCACAGAACTGGGAGACACCTCACGCCAGCTGGAGAAGATGCCCCCATTGCTGGGTGAGTACAACAGACACCAGGCTGTGGCTGAGTTCTGGGGATGGCGGGTTTGATCCTGAAGCTGATGTTTTGAGAATTAGTAAGACGGTATCCATATCAGCATGGCCAGCAAGCCCCTATTCGATAGGTGGACCCCAGATATGTTTGTATCCTAAGGAAAACACATTTTATTATTATTATTTTTTGGTACCAGGGATCAAACTCAGGACCTTGCACTTGCAAGGCAGGTGACAGCACCATGGAGCTAAGTCCCCAGCCCAGGAAAACACATTTTGTTCCTTTCAGTTTCACCCATGAGTCGCTTGGACCCAGCAGTGGATAGGACCACTTCACCCATTTATTCATTAATCCATCCATCATCCATCTATTTATTACTCCTTCACCCATCCGTTCATCCATCACCCATTCCATCAGTGTATCCGTCCATCCATATGTCCATCATCCATCCATCAATCCACCCATCCATCCATCCATCCACCCATCCACCCATCCATCCACCCATCCATCCATCCACCCATCCATCCACCCATCCACCCATCCATCCATCCATCCATCCATTTATCCATCCCTCATTGATTCATCCATCATCCATCCATCCACCCATCATCCATTCATGCATCTATCTATCTATTCTTTTATTGTCCCAGCAAATTAGTATTAAATGGAGGCATACCTCAGAAAGAGCAAGTATGGTTCTTCCACTCAGTTGCAATAAAATCAGTATTCCAGTAAAGTGAGTCACACAATTTTTTTTTGGTTCCTTAGTGCATATAAAAGTTATATTTACACTCAACTGTAGTCTCTTAAGTGTGCAACAGCGTTGTATCTTTCAAAATGCATATCCCATAATTAAAACCATCTGACATGTAGGCAAAATGGCACCCACAGATTAGTTCCACACAGGGGTACCACACACCTACAATTTGTAAATAATACCGAATCTGTGAAGGCCATACAGCGAGGTATGCCTATATTTCCACTGTCAGGCTCTTTGTGATACTGGTACCCAAAGGAATGTGATCCTCTCCTAATGATGCTGCAGGCTGTTGTAGGCTCTAGAGAAAGCAGGTCCTAATTCTTGGAACCGGGAGATATATCCTGGTGAGATCACAGACACTGACCATGCTGTCCAGTGTGGGACACAGTAGCTTCTGAGCACTCCCTCCGTCTGCGTGCCGGCTTCATGTGGTGATGTCATGGTCGTAGCCTTGTGGGATGGGTACCTATGATCTCTTGGTGATTAGGAAACACAGCCATACGAGAGACACCTGGCTTCTCAAAGGCAGGACTATCTGGGAGGCTGGACTGGGGATGTCTGCATCGATCCACAGATGCAGGAGGACAGGCCATGTTCATTTCCCCTTTGCTTCACGCTCATGATAGACAGGAGTCTTGCATTGAATGCCACAGTTAAACCCCTCTATTTCTGTCTTTCTGACCCATCCATCACATGATGATACTAATACACACCCTATCTACACCCAGGTTTTCTGGGTGCATAGCAAGATCTATGCATTGTTATGGGAAGCTCAGGGGTAAACCACTACCACTGCAGTTTGGCATTCAAGCTGTCACTTAGTTACCCACTTAAGCAAAGACCTCGGTGTTTTCTGCAGCTTTGATACTGGTGTCATTAGAATTGGGGAAGGCATTTGTGCACAGTGAAAATCTGTGGACTTCTGACATTTGAGGCCGTCTTCAGTTAGGCACAGCTTTACCAATCTTTGTGTTCACTGCTTATTGATAATGTTTGCATACATTCCTTTCCCCAACCTTTGTTTGCTTTGCCTTCCTTCTTGGTTGTGTTATCTAACATCCCAATTCTCTGCAGGCCACATATATTTTAGTCTAATTTCTAGTCATACAATTCAAGGTTAATACACTTCCCTCCTGATCCCTTGAGCTGCATGTAATAGACATATAATGCTTGTGTTTCTAACTTTTCTCTCTTCAACCATTGACTTCCTTTGAAGGATATTTCTTAAAGGGTAAATTTTTAATTACTGGTATATGTTTGTTTTGTTTCTTTTTTACTAGTACATGTTTGCAGTATATAATGTTTACATTCCTTGTCTGGACTTGGTACATGGAGTATTTCTAACATTCTCAAGGGTATAGACTTACAAAGCCTTATTTTGTTATACGCCTCCAGTTTTACTATTAGGTGAATGCAGAAGATGGTTTGGATATCAACTATAGGTTAGCAGGCAGTTGATTTGAAAGAGTACATGTACTAGTTTGGGGACATCAAACTTGTAATGTTAGGACACACTACCAACACTTACAATTTATTTTTTTTGTATTAAATTATTTTATTGGTACATTGTAGGTATACAACACAATTACATTTCTCATTGGGAATTGTACCTTTATATAATGCATCTTGGTTCTTA